AAATTTCTGCTTAAATACTCAGATTCTTGGGCTTTATAAAAACATAATTTTTGGTTTACTTTAGAAGATGAGTAAATCACGTGCATCATATAGAGAATGTAACACTACAGATTCACTTGTGATGGGGTTTCAGCTGAAAATAAACCCCTTAAAAATGTAAAAATACAATGTCTCCTTTTTTCCTAACCCTTTAATCCCTCCTTTTCACCTTTCACACTTTCCCTGTTGAGCAGTGCCTGAACCACGAACTCCTGAGCTCTAAATAACATGCTGGATTTGGCTGGGACTGTTTTGTTTCAAATTCCAAGACTTTTTAGCCTTCAAACCATCAGATTCCTGTGCTGCCAGCTCCCTGCAGTGGGCAGGAGCTGCTCTGGGATGAGCTTGGCAATGAGAATTGGGGTTTGGAATCCTCAGGAGATGAAGGGAGCAGAGCAGGACACACAGGGTGACACAAATCCGCATTTTCCGCCCACACTGAGGTGAGTTTTGGGACTTTTTCCAAGCTCCTGGGATGTCCTCTCCTTCCAGAGGATGGGTTGTTGCTGTAGGTGGCAATCCAGGGAATTAGGGAATGAGGATTGGTGACAGGAGGCGACAAAACAAAGTGAAGACATTAATTATGTCATTTGTCACCTCAGCTGCTTTCCCAGTTTATAATTATGGGGAAATAAGGCAGGAGATTAAAATAATTTCTCTGGGAAAATGAGGACAGCTGTGCTCAAACTTCCAAGTCTTTGAACAATGCCCAAGTATCTCTACGTTTGTAAAAAAAAAAAAAATCTATTCAATACTTTTGAATTTGGATCCAATGGGATGCTTTATTCAAGTAATATAATGGTTGAAGTAGTAATTAGTGTAGATTTGCTTTCATGCTTAGTCTGTATGTTATATTTACTGATATTTATCAATATAATTTGTATTTACTGATGTTTAGGAACAAGAGGGAGCACACAATATTTTAATTATATCAATCATTAGACTATTTATGGAGACAGTGATTTTTTTCCCAGCCTGTCAGTCCCTAACACAGAGAAATACAAGCAGTACTTTGCATTACAGGTACAAAAATCTGTATTTCTCAAGACTATGTAAATAAATATTGCTCAAGGTGTGCCTGAGAGTGAGCCCAGGGCAGGAGCAGGTGAGCCTCAGCTCCAGCAGGACTCCACAAGGACATCCTGAGCATTTCTGGGCACTCAGGAATCCCACAGCAGGCTGCAGGAGCAGGAACTTTGCCCTGGTTGTGTTTCTGCTGCTCTTTCCCACGTGGGGTTTGGGGGTGCCTCCAGTGCCTGGTGCCTCTTTCACAATACCTGGGGTAGGATTAGGGGGAGGATTAGGATGGGATTGGGGTGGGGCTCTGCTCCCATTCCCAGATCCCAGCTGGGCTGGGGGAACGGGACAGAGCCAGGAGAGCACCAAAATCCAGCAGAGGAAACAAGGGGTCAAGTGGCAGCTGGAGCTCCCCAGAGTTCCTGATTCATTTTCCTCATCACCCCCTTTTCCCTTCCTGTCCCAAGCCTCCAGGATTTCAAACATTTCATCCCATTTCAGTTCCCAGCACTGCCTGGGCAGGTTCCTGCTGGAAGCACCGGGAGCCTGAGGGGTCTGGATTTGTCAGGTCAGGCTCAGCTGGGAATGGGATCAGGATCAGGCACAGCTGGAGCTGTGCCAGGGAGGTGTAGGGTGGAGAGCAGGGAAAACTTCTTCCCCCAGAGGGTGCTGGACACTGCCCAGGCTCCCCAGGGAATGGCCCAAGGCTGCTGGAGCTCCAGGAGGGTTTGGACACCATTCCAGGGATGCCCCGGCTGGGATTGTTGGGGTGGAACAGGCTCTTTCCATATTTCTCCAGATTTTTCCAACCAGCTCCACAGGCTGCTCTGAGTGGCCACAACACTGAGTTTTTCCCACCTGATGCTCCAAACCTAAATGAATGATCCAAACCTAAATGAATGAATGCATGGCTGGAGCAGGAAGTGTTCCAAGAGGAATGGGAAATGGAATATTCCCTGCACACTCTTCCCTGAGCACGCCAAGCTCAGCTGGCTCTGTCCGGGGGAAGTTTCTGTCCTGGCAGAAAGGAATGCAAGGGTAACATTCAGCACCTTTCAGATCCCTGCCATGTGAAAAGGAAATATTCAAATTGCACAACTTAACCCACGCTGCTTCACCAAGAGTGGAAACTAAAGAACAGAACAACAACCAGCTGCTAAAATCAAACTGCTCGTGCTGCTCACCAGGAAACCTTTGATGTTTCCAGCCCAGCATCCTCCTTAGGAGTGATTTTATTGTAGGACTTTCACACCTTATCTCCCATTAAACTTTAATTTTATTGACCCAAAAATTTACACTTCCTAAAGGCACTAAAGATGGTTCTGTTCACGTGGAATTTTAGCCCCTCTGCTGCTGATCACTTCAGGAGTTTTTAGAAGCTTTCTAAGGTAATTTCTTACTCCTTGTTACTGTCATTGTTTTGCACTCCAACAGCTGCACTTTGCTTTCTTTCCAGCCACGTGTAATTGCAGTTCTTATCTTTGCTCTTCATTACCTGACCTGAAAATCCTGCTTGTAGAATGAACCTGTCAGCACTTCCTGGCCTCTGCATCCCACGGGACATTTCCATCTTGCAGGGATTGCTCAGAGCAGAGGGGAGTTTCCAGCAGATCTGTTTGCTTTTCCAGAGCTGACCTGAAATTCCTCTGTCCTGCCTGGCTGAAAGTTTCTGCTTCACTTCCCTGCTCAGCTGAAACTGCTTCATGCAACAGTTGAGTTCCAGTCTCCCCGAGAAAGGAATTCCTTCTTCTTCTACTGCTGACATTTCCAGTACAGGGCAGAGATACTATATGAAATAGGATTTATTTAGATATTTTTCCAGGTATTTTTTCCAGGGATATGTGAAGAACCATCCTCAGAGCACAAACTCTCAGCAAGATGTGCAAACAGCATCGAATTATTTCACAGCTTCAGGAGTTTCCTTCCATCTCACAAATCTCACTGACCAGAGATGAGTTAAAAATTGGCTTTCAAAGCTGTTAAGTCCTTGTTGGGGATTTGTGTTATCCAAAATGGTTTCATTTTAGGAAGTTGAATATTTGAATTGCACAAAATCCCTTCAGTTTCTTGCTTCAGCATCAGGCTTCGGTTTTGTTTGGAACTGAAACCCCGACAAGTTTTAAACTCCATTTTCTCCTTCTGACTTGGCTTAACCAGGTTCCCCTCTTGTATTTAGGAGGAAATAGATTCTGACAGCAACAAGATTCTTTGTTCCATGATTATGTCCTGGAACGAGCTCCAGGAAACATTCCCAAACGCCTCTGCATTTCCAATTGCCACCTCTCCTTTCACCTGCTCTGGGAGGTGCAGCTGACACAAACGGCCCCGAGGTGAGATCAATCTGCAGGAGGAGCAGTTTGCTGACATTAAACCCTCCAACACCAAGTTCAAAGCGGTTTTTGTCTTATTTTCCTTTAGCTTGGTGTTATTTTAAATGTAAATACCAAGAACTGCGCGGGCATCAAGAGTTTTTGCTGAGTTTTCAGCCCCCTTTTCCTCGGAGCAGGGAGCAGCTCCTGGGCCATGCAGGAACAGTGACACCAGGTGGGCTCTCACCTTCAGCACAGGCACATCCTGATTTTTCCATGGAGAACGAGGAAGAGATGGGATTGGATCCATCTCTGTCAGTCCCAGGGTGGAAATGGAGCCAGATTCTTCCCACTGGCATTCCATTGAAAGGATTCCAAATCCCAAAAATCCAACAGAAGGAATCTGTATCCTTGTCTAACTTTTTATGGAAAACTTCCTGACACAATAATCCTCCAGAATTCCCTATTTTAAGCTACTTCCAAGAGTAAGAGACTGAAATAACACTGATTTTGTTGAAGTCCCCACCAGATCAGTGTCTCAGTTCCTCAGCTTTGCAAGCTCCCAAAATTGGCCCAGGAGCTGTCAGCCAAGCTCAGGCACCTGGCCTGAGGTTAAAAGTGTTTTCCCATCAATATTTCACCTCAGCAATTTCCATCTGGGAAAATTTGAGACCCCTGGAGTTACATCAGGCCATCCACTACCAGATTTTTAAAGCAGTTAAAGCACCTTAAGCTTTTCATCATCAACACACAAGACTTTTATCTAGGGAAAAATAAATCAAAAATGAGTGTTTGCACACCCCAATGCCCTTTTTCTGTTCATTTTTCCCCAGTTATCCAGCTTTTGTGCTGTAAGGTCTGACTTATACAACACAATTTTTTCACCACTTTCTCTGAGCAAAACGTAATTCCAAAGTTCTGCACAGCTTCTCCCATGACTTCCAACTCAAAATTCATCAACATCTGGGTGGAAATGCATCATTGAGCAGGTCTGACTTAAAATCCTGAAGGATTTCTGTTGTATAAAAGGAGCTTTTTGTGGCTTAACTCAAGAGATTTTTCAGGAAGAGCCGCAGGGCAAGTGGCAGCTTTTATCCATGACAATGAATGCCTTTGTTAGCTCCAGTGGCAGTGAAAATATTGGCAAATATTTAATTTGTTGGACACTCCCTAAACCCCTCTGAGCTCCCAAAGGGGCACTGGAAACTTGGGAATCTACAAAGAGACCCAACTTTTGATTGTGGGGAGCTGCTCCAGCCAAACAAATCCCACAGACCCAGGCAATCCTTGGATTCAAGGCTTCAGCAGCACAAGATCTTCTCCTGCTGACAGACCCATGAAAGCTTTTCCAGGCTGGCAGCAGAGCAAGGAAGGGCGAAAGGAAGAGGGAGATCTCCAGGGATAAACAGGATGAGACAGCACAGCAAATATAAAACATTCCTGGGAGAGTCCAGCAAGGGAAACAGGGAGGAGGAAAAGGACTGGTGAAAACAGCAGAGTTTAAACCCAGATTTTATTACTCTCCCATCACCTGCCACCAACAGGGAGTTCATTATTTTGTCCTCTTTGGACTTGAAGAGTGCAACTGGATTTGAAAATGAACTAAAAAATGATGAATCAAAGTATCTTGAGAGGTTTTTAATCCTTTATAGCTGGTTTATTAATTAATTGCTGAGCACGTTGCTTTGAATCCACTGATCCAGACATGGGCTAGAGTTCAATACTCATCACACTCCACAGGATTTTCCAATCTTTCTGATCAAGGGCTTTGCAGGGAAGTTTTCTTCGTGTAAGGGAACAGAAATTAGTCTTGAGCTTCCCCAAATATGGATATATGGAATAATCTACCAGTATCATAAAAGGCTTCAAACCATTGTGCCAAAAAATGGGGAAAACCTTCCCCATGTGAGAAATTAAAGTGTAACAGTAGGTAGGGACTCTACCTAAAATCCAGGAAACTGGAATAAAATCTTTCCCTCTGGACATCCTTCCTTATTTTCTCCACTGCAGAAATTGCATGGAAAGATCCCTCAGGGATGGGAGGAACTTGTGGAATTTATATTGCAATGCTTCTACCAGAAATTGAACTGCAATTGCTGATTCTCTGGAATATCATCCGTAAAATACGAATTCCAGGCCATTATTTTGGGGTGCAGTGGGAGTTTTGTCACTTTTCCTGGCCTTGTGATGGTTAATTATGGTCTGGGGAGTTTTTCCTCCCCAGGGGAATATTTATTGGATGTAAGGCACTGTCCTTACTCTGTCAGCATTTCTGCCCCCTCCCCTCCAGTGGCGTCCTGGGAAATGTGGAGATCTTCCAGCATTTCAGCCAGGCTGATCCGTGGAGCTCCATCATCATCTGTGTCACTCTCCACTGGAATATCTGCATCTAAAAACACACAGAAACCCCCCAAAAAACCAGCTAAGCAAAGAAAACAAACCCCAAAACACCAGAGCAACCCCAAGGGGAAATGGGGAAAAAATATCAAACCAACAACACCAAAACAACTAAGAAACCACAAAACAAAATCCAAAAATTCCTCCTAAAAACTCAACAGTCCCCTCATGGAAAAAAATGAAATTCTGCATCAAATCCTTCACCCAGCAGAGATTTTGGGTGCAGGAGCAAAGTTCTCTTTCACTTAAAGGCAAGGAAACAAAACCCATCAGGGGAAACACATCTGTGAAATACTTTACAGCATTTCTCCAGGCATGAAGAGTTTGGAGAATGCAAATAGAGAATTCCAGTAAAACTGTTTTGCCTCAAACATGATTTAATTACACCCACTGAAGGAGTCAGAAAGGGCTTACTTCTGTAAATGTTGACATTTTTCCTGATGTTCTCATCCTCTTCCAGATCTTCCAGGAAGTCCTGGTATTGTCTGTAAAAGATGTGGGATGTACTTACTCCCTGTTCCTTTGGATTTGTGGAAATTCATGCAACAAAGTAAAATCACAGAAACAAAACCCCAGCAGACCTGAGAGCATCCCTGCATTTCCAACTCATTCTTGCCGATGTCCTACCCTCATTTATCTCTAATTTTCTCCTTTTTTCATCTCAGCTGGAGGTTATTTAGAAGCTGCTTTGTCACTGAACAAGGAGAACAGATACTGAACCTTTCATCATCTGTGTCTGAGGCTTCCCTGTCCCTCTCCAGCTCCTTCAGCTTCCAGTTCCTGCGGCGCTGCCGCCTGGAGCGGTCGTAGCTCTTCTTGATCAGCACCTGCAGGGAAAAGCAGCTCCTTTTTCCACCTCCCAAAATCCCAAATCAGCACCCAAATCCACATTTGGGCATCTAGAACCAGCTGGACTGGCACGCAGCAGTGTTATATTGAATTTACAGGGAGTTTGTTGGTTCAAATGTTTCCAAACACTTGGGAAGTGGTCCTGAAGGGACAGGCACGCACTGGAGTTATTATTTTAGCACCCAGTGATTGGTAATTGGAATAAAACCAACAATTAATGTATAATCTAACCATGGCAACTGGAAAAAAAAACCAACAATAAATATATAATTTAACCATCACTCAAATATTTAAGGAAATAATCCTTCAAAATCAGATGATGCTCAAATTTCACTGTTAATATCCTCTCTTCCTTCAGGCACTGCTCACCATAAAATCACACTCCCTCCTGGCCTTGGGTAATGGAGGGAAATTTGGACAGGGAAAGGGATTTTCTTACCACATCAGGAATATGCTGGGGGTTCATCTTGTTGGCAAATTCGTCATTTAGGTTGCAGTTGGCCAAGTCAAAGCTAAAATAGAAAGAGGGGTTTTATTCTGCTTTATAAAAACCCAACCTCAATGTATCATGTTTGTGCTAAAGGGCAGCTCAGTGCAGCTCCTAAGGAACAGAAATATTCCCAGAGGAAGAGAAACAAAGAAAAATCCACATAATTGTCCAGCTCTCCTAAGTCTGAGCAGCTGCTGTTCCCAAATCCTGTTCTGTTGGCACTTCCCAACCTCTGGAATCCAAACTGCAACACCCATTGAGGTTCTGCTGGGCTCACAACATTCATGTTTAAATCTTTATAAGCATCACCTAATTTGCCTAATCCTACAAAGAATTCACATTTGTTATCACTCATTAGCAAAGAAATAATTAATTGGTGTTTTAAAAATCCTTCCCATTTATTTGTGGCTAAACTGAGATTCCAACTGCACTCTGAAGGCAGTGAGCTCTCTTATTTCTAACAAATTTTACATGAAAACTCCTTCTAGAAAAGAGATTTCCTGGATTAGGACCAGAATGATTCCACCCCTTTACTGCTTTCATTTTGAAATCAGAACAGTTCAACACTTTCTTGATAGCACATGAATTCAGTCATTAAATAATCATTCAATAGAAGTTTCAGAAAAGCAGAACAGACCCCAAGACCAGGTCCCCAGGATTCAGGATGTGCCCCAGGTGAGTGCAGCAGAAATATTGGTGATCTGTGTCCAGCTCCGAGGTTTTCCTGACCCAGGCTTCAGCCAGAGTGTGCTTTGGGAGAGAAAAATAAACATTCCTCAACTAAACCCAGCTTAACCCCAACATCTGCACTGATTTCAACTCCACTTGTCATTAAACTTGTGTTTCTGCATCACATATCCAATGTATCCTTGCTACTTCTCATTTCTCATTCCATAAAAGTAAGGAAATGGACATGGCAACTCCCAGGAATTCCCAAAGGCTGTTTCTATAAATATTTTAGCTTTTAACTGAGAAGATCCATTAATTCTGATTAAAAAGAAATGCTTCAACAAAACCAATTCAGTCATTAAAGCTGCAAAATTAATATTTCAATACCCACTAACAAGCAGAGTTTAAACTCTGCAAGCACAATTCCTGGAAGTGGAATTCACATCCTGCCTGTGCCATTTCCAAACCAAATGGTCCCAAAGAAAGCTTCTGCCAGTGGCAAGACCCAGAAGAGCCCAGCTTGACTGTGCCAGGCAGACCCAGGTCATGAATTCAGCTGAGCACAAGGCCCAAAACACGAATTAAACAGAGAAATTCTCACCTTGTTTGACCGAGCCCCTGCCCCAGCACCTTTTTTCCTCTCATTGACCCTGCTGATGTCCATGATGATGAACTCCTCCAGCTGCTTGGGGTGGAACAGGCTGTTGAAGGGGTGGCGCCAGTAGGTGTTCCCATCAATTTCAGCAACTGCAAAATCATCAGGGAGAGAATTTCTTGTAAAAAAAACCCCACTAATCAAAATGAAGGTAACTGCCAGGCATGTTTTGTTCATTTCTGTAACACAGTTATTTAGGACACGATCCACATTGCTGCAGGAGCAGCTGATCTGTGACAGACTTTACTCAAAGGAATTATTCCCTGGATCCATCCTTTTAGAGGGATTCTGCTGCCCAAGCTCACCAGCACACATCAAGCAAAGCACAGAATTTCTGGTACTGAAGTGGCTGAAAATTTAATCCAGATGCCATCTAACTGCAGGGGAATAAAGCTGACACAGGTAAATGCTCAGAACACCCAGGAGCTCAAACTGAGCCTGCACATTCTGCCCAGGATCCTATGGGAATCAAGCTTGGAGAGCTCTCAGCTCATTATGAAATTTCTAGTGTACAGATAAATTAAACAACAGTAAGGTCCAAAGATCCAAGATTTTGTGGAAACAAACCCACAGTAACTGTGCCAGCAGAACAATCAGGGGCTGAGGAAAAGCCCAGACTCACTCTGCAGAGTTCTGGGGTCGATGAGGTGGATGGTGCTGGTCACTCTGATGCACACACAGATCTGGCTCATGTTCCCCAGACTCTGGGCCAGCTTGGGTGACAGACACACAACGTTGTCCTGCAAACCAACACAAACAACTGACATTCCCATTTCCTCCATTTTCAACCAAATCTTCTGAAGTACAATTTGAAACTTTGTGGTTTTATTTTTCTAGCCCCAGTAACTTCTGCATTTCCTGTGTGGATCCCTCCCTACCCCCCAAACCCTACAATCTCCAAACCCCAACTCTTCCCACAACACCCTAAAGGTGAAGCAGAGGGAAGCTACCTTGCATATGGGAACAATTTCCACAGAGAAAGTGCTTTTGTAGTTGTAGACATTACTGTGAATGTCGTGGGAGATCAAACGTTGGGATGATTTGGATCTATAAAACATGAAAACAGAGTTTTCAGGAAACAAGAGACATCACCTGGGACAGGAGATCCTTTGAACAAAGTATCTGCATCACAAATAGAAATATGAAGGAAACAGAAGTAAATTTTACCATGGCTAAGTGGAAAATATGGGGCTTTTGTAGAAGGGATTTAGTCTGTTTTGATTAAAATACAGATTCCTTACACTTGCACTTACAAAATTCTTTTAAAAGGAAGGATTTAAGTCAGTTCCCCAAAGTTCTGAGTGCTCAAGGCAATGGACAGGAGAGCTGTACCTGGATGGAACTGTACACTGAAGGAAGTCCACCATCTTCTGGGCATGTTGCTTGGAAGAGTAATAGAAATCCAGGCCATCTGAAAAGCAAGGAAACAAATCTATTTCTATTCTATTTTATTAAATATAATTCATGAGCTTTTCTCTACACAGCTCCCAGCACACACACATGAAAACATCCATCATAAATCCAGATTGTTCTGCCTCCAGACCCACTCACCGTGGATTTCTTTGATTCTTAGTGTGTTTTGATGGAGCCTGTGCTTCAAAATCAGCTGCTCCAAATAGTAAAAAGTCTTCTTGTGCACAGTCTAAAGCCAAACAAACACAAAAGCATCAAGGTTATTTAAGAAGCATCAAGGACAAACCAGGATCTCTGAAGAATAAACATGTATATGAAGAGATCACCTAGAGAAAGAACATCCAAGTAAACAAAAATATTTCAGAGTGCTCTACTTATACCAAATTATTGAAAGCTTCCATTTCTCATTTTCTCTCATAACTGGTTGCTAGAGAGATCTATTTCCTTTAAAGAAAAATCAAATATTTGTCCCACTGTTTCCAAACTGCCTGAAAATACAGGAGGGTATTTAGTTATTCACACATGATCCTCCTGCTAGCATCATTTTAAAGAATGTTAACACTGGACAGCAGAAAGTTTTTCTAAACTGAGTAAGAAAAAGTTCAGTAACCTTGAACACAAAACATGTCCCTGTGGCTAAGTGTGAGTACATTTTTATCTGAGAAATCCAGAAAACCCCCCAATTCTTTGCCTGATTGTTCTGCCGTGATCAAATAAAAATTCAGTTTGCCTCTACCTTCTGCCTGACTTGCACCACAGCTTTCCAGAAATCCTTGGCTTCAATCCTGTGACAGTCTTCACACATCTGGGACTGAACAATGTACTCCACCACAAACACCTGCTGCAGAACTGCCCCATTTATCACCTGCAAAACCAAAGTGTTCAAGGTTTAAGCTCTGTTTGGGTCACAAATGTTTTTGTGCAGTATTTTCCCATCTTTACTGGAACAGACAATAACTTTCTTCATTCTGATGAATGGCACTTTAATGACAGAATTTAGGCAGGATGAAATCTAATCATAAGAAAAATAATAATTAAAAAATCCTGTTGTTTGCCATGAAAGCTTTTTAAAAGCCAAAGGGAGAAGGTTTTGCTCCAGTTACCTCTTTCTGAACAGTCAATTTGAGCTTGAGCCTCTTGGAATGTGGTTCTGTCCAAATGAATCCTGCATCAATCAGCCGGACCTGCCCGTGGGAAAGCACAAGAGCTCAGTAAAACCAAGCCTAACTCCACAAACACAAACAGTCTATAGTGAAGAAGTAAATAATCTTAATTAAATATATATCTATTAATATACTAAATCCATTTAGTAGTGCTTAGCTAGAACATGGAGGATGACTGACATACAATCAAGATGCTCAATCTCAGGTCCTTCCCTTTAATAATATTCTGAACCTAAGGGATGCTTTATCCAGCTGAAACATGTGAATTTGAGTTAATCTATACACAGACCTCTGCAACCCTTTTTCATACAATCATAAGCCAGTGAGAACAAATATTGCATAAATAATTTCTCAAATGTGCAAAAACTTCTGAAATTAAGTACATTAAAACCACATCAGCTTCCCTCAGTTCATTCTGCTCAGCTCCCACCTCTACAGCAACAATTGTGGCCAGGCTGTGAAATCCCAGCAGGATCAGCTTCTCACCTTGCTCAGGGAAGCTTTGATTTTCTTCAGACACAAAGCCAGGAGCTCTCTGGATTCCAAGGCACACTGGATCCAGGTTCCTGGAGGCTGGAGGTACCTGGGATGCAGGGAGCATTTTACAGCAAGTTAAAGCTGCTTGAGCACCTTAAATCACTCCAAGGATGAGCAGCTACTTCCAGAGCTTTCAGTTGAGTAACACCAATGCAGCTACAACTTTTAGAATCAGAGAAAATCATGGCAAAGTGGCTAAGGGGACTGGGTTCATTCCCCAAGCACTGCCCAAGCCACCACTAAACCACGTCCCCAAATGCCACATCCACAGGGCTTTTTAACCCCTCCAGGGATGGGGTGTTCACCAATGCCCTGGGCAGCTGTGCCAGGCTGGACATCCCTTTCCATGAAGAATTTTTCCCAATATCCAAACTAACCCTTCCCTGGCTGTCCCCTCCTGTCAGGAGTTGTGCAGAGCCAGCAGGTTCCTCCTCAGCCTCCTTTTCTCCAGGATGAGCCCCCCCAGCTCCTCCTCACCAAACGTGTGCGCTTTTGCCTCCCTAAACCCTGAGACTGATGCATTCTAAGTGCACTCCGAGGGCATTTCGCTGCCATCCCCAGCGATTTCGCGGCTCCTCACCTCTCGCACTGCTTGCAGAAGTGCACCGTGCCCTGCTTGGGGATGCCCTCGGTGATGTCCACCTGGGCCCGCAGGCAGCCCACGCACATGTTGGCCGGGTTGGGCGGGATGGGGACACCGCACTGGCAGCACAGGCTGGGACACAGGGACAGAGAGAAGCACAGTTAGTCACGGTCACGGTCACAGCCCCCGGGAACCCCGGTCCCCCCGCCACCGCTCACATGTGTCCCTGCGCCGGGGCCGCGGGGGCCGGCAGGTACTCCATGGCTGCGGAACACGCGGCGCTTTCCGGCCGGCAGAGGAAGGGGAGGAGACGGCGGGGCCAGCCCAGCCCGGCCCGGGAAGGGTGGAGCGAGGGGGACGCGGAGAGGCAGGCGGGAACCGTGAGGGACTGCGGAGAGGGCTGGGAGGGAGCTGCGGGGAAGCAGGCGGGAACCGTGAGGGTGCCGTGAGGGAGCCCGGAAAGGGCCGTGAGGGGCCATGGAGAGGCGGGGGAAGCGGTGAGGGAGCCGTGAGGGAGCCGTGAGGGGCAATGAAAGGAACCGTGAGGGAGCATGGAAAGGGCTGTTAGGAGACCATGGAGAAGCGGGCGGGAGCTCTGAGGGAGCTCTGAGGGGGCCGTGATGGAGGCGCCACGGAGAAGCGGGAGGGAACCGTGAGGGAGCCATGGAGGAGCCCTGAGGGAGCCCGGAAAGTGCTGTGGGGGAACCATGGAGCGGGCGGGCACCGTGAGGGACGTACGCTGTTACAATTCATTATTTAGGAATTAAATTATATTTTCATTTACAAGGAGAAGCCTGTACTGTCCGTTCGCTTTGTATTCCATTTGGGATGAACCATAAGCACCCTGTGGAAAGGAGGAGAATTAAAAGACCTTTAAGGTCGTTTCCAACCCAGAGCATTCTGTCATTTGATGATTCTGTGACACCAAGGTTTGTTTGTGGATCAGCATTTGTTTCCTGCAGGTTATGTTGGAGAAAAATAAAGCTGAATTGCATCAACACGTTGTGTGGGATTTATTTCATGTGGTAACATCCTGATGGAAATGAAGAGTTCTTTCACTCGAGGACTGAAAATCACAGCTTGTCAAGCTGTCTGCTATGTTTATAATTTTTTGGCACATTTTTCTTTGGTGTGCTGCTTGTGTTCACACAGTTACTTCTCCTCCTTTGAAACTGAGTTTCTTTGCAGACCTCTCTAGAGACTCACTATGGACCATATTATTAAAACAATGAAAAAAAAAAAAAACCACAATAAAAATACCCAAGTGTTTCCCTGCTCTTAAATTTTGTTTCAGAACCTCTGCTACACAGCGGGTGTTACACAGTTTTTACTTTGAAGCTCTGATGAATCACTCGATCTTTGATTCAGGAAATAAAACACTTCCAGGCTGGCATTTGGAGAGTGGCGTTGGGAGAGGGGTAGGACAAAGCCTGTCCTTTGTGGAAGCCATGTCTTTGAAGTCACTGGGAGGAGAACTGAATCCTGATAATGCTGGAAAAGTTTCAGTTGCAGATTTATTTTCAGCTGCAGATTTATTTTCTCCACCTAATTTTGGTGCTAATACACCAAATCCCACCGCAGCTCAAGGCACAGCCTCTGTGAATATCAAAACTGGGTTCTTTGTAGTCATCAAGGTACTTTGTGTTGTCTCTGCAAGCTCTGGCTATCCTCTGGCTTCCATGGAAAATTTGTATTTTAAACTGTGTTACAAACACTTCTGAAGGATTTTAGATTTTTGCACAAAATGAGGTGAAAAGCCGCCTGGATCTCACCCCTAGTGAAAGCCATATCAGTTTGTACTGATTTCTTACGTGTTTTTCAGTGAGTATTAAATGTTATATTGATTTTATATAGGCTGCTTCTGCCTCTGCTGCCATATTCTTTCACAGCATTTAAAGGATCTGTGCTATAGGCAAGGAAAGTGAGCACACAAATATATTTAAATATATGTTAAATTTAAAAACTTCACACTATTTAAAACCAGGTTTCAATATAGATTTACTCTCAGGCTGTTTTGCAGGTGGCTGGGCCCTCGAGAAGTCCCTGTGGGTGTTTTTGGGAAAGCTCAAGTGCCGAGGCCAGAAAATCCAGGAGACTTTGTGCCAGTGACAACAGCTCCCAGCAGCTTCATTTTCAGTAGGAATGTCCAACAGGATGGTAAATTCACGGGGAATATCCCTGTGATTAATTGAACAGACACCTGAGGTCACTATTCCCTCACATTCACTGCGTCCAGGAAAGGAGGTGCTCCAGCAGCTCCTGGACCTCTCCTCCTCAGGAGCTGCTCTGACCTTCCCAAGGAGGGTTTGTTCTGGGCTGCTGCTTTCATTGCCTGTGCTCATTTCAGTATAAAACTCCAGGAATTTAAGAACAGAACCAAAAAGTGTTTTACACTTATTTTTTTCCTATTCATTCCCATATAAATTGGGGATTGAGAGCAGTCTGCACGTCACAAACAATAAAAACATCCTCCTTTAACTGTAGGATTTTAGGAACAGCATCCAGATGGAAGCATGGGAAGGGCTGTGCAATAACAATAAATCACCCTTCTGATCTTTACTGGTGCCCAATTTAGTTTTGAGGAGGATCCTGGAGACACCCAGTCTGTATTTCTTTACAAATCTATTCTAGAATTCTTTACAAATCTATTTCTCACAAGTGTTCACGCATTCCCAACAATTTTGCTCCTCTTCCTATTGCAGGAAGCCACGATTTAGAGAAATGGAGCATTTTCCATTCTGACAACAGAGGAATTTCCAGGATTCAGAAAGGGGAATTAACAACAGAGGAGTCACCATGTTTCAGAGAGGGGAATTAACAACAGAGGAGTCACCAGGTTTCAGAGAGGGGAATTAGCAACAGAGGAGTCACCAGGATTCAGAGAGGGGAATTAAAGGCAGGGCTTTTTACAGGAGCTGTTTCAGCTCCCAGTGCCACCAGAGACATTCTTGGGCAGGAACAGATTGTGCCTGGCCTGGTGTGGGCAACTCCCAGATTTATTCCAAGCCAGGATCCAGCTCCCAGTTTGTAATCAGACATCTCCAAGTGGTCTATTCTTTTGGAAAGCAGGGATCTCCTTGATTTTCATCGTGGATTGCAGCTGGGAAGTTGCAAACTGGTAATTTCAGCAAGGGCTGCTACATCAGCGTGTCCTCTGCGGTCTGAACGGGAGGAATAACATTCCCTGATTCCACTGGGACACAGCACTTCCAGGGGCTGCTTGCTGTGTGTTCACCTGCACTAAATTTACTGGGATAATGCTCCAGTTATTTTCCAGTTCTTGCCTATTTCTTCAGTTCTTGTGAGGAATCCAATTAGCAATCCAATTTACAGTGCGAGCCACGAGCATTATCACTGCTGAACTTCAAGGCAGGAACAAAAGGAGCCAGAAGAGCTCCTTTAAAAGAGCTTTGTGACAGGGATGGGGATATTGTGACATTGCACTCTCAGCTGATGGTGGTGAAACTGTGTTGCATCACCAGCTTTAATGAGCGTTGTCACAGCACAAATACCTGTGGGTTGGCTTTCTTTTCATGTGTGTGTGAAACTTGCACGTCAGACACGTTGGATGCAGTTCAGGGATACCTCTGGAAGTGCTGCCCTGTGTCAGAGAGGGGATAACTCCCAGCCCTGCTGAGGCAGCTGGGAATAGCTGGATGCTCAGAGGCAGAGCTGCTGGCTTTGTGCAGTCAGGGGAGCAAACAGCACCCTCTGCTTCCTAAATCCCTGGAACCTTTTAAAAACTCCTGCTGTGCCTGTTGTAGGCTTACAAGCAGCGGGATTTTCCTTTGTAGCCTTTTTAAACCAAAATAGCCCAAGCCGTATTGAGCTGCTCAAACAAGGAGACATCCCAGATTAATGAAAGTAGGTTTAAATTAGAATGAGGGGGAAGTTGTTCCCTGTGATGCCCTGGCACAGGGTGCCCAGAGCAGCTGTGGCCGCCCCTGGATTCCTGGCAGTGCCCAAGGCCAGGCTGGACACTGGGGCTTGGAGCACCCTGTGAGAATGGAAGATGTCCCTGCCCATGGCAGGGGGTAGGGTGGAATGGGATTTAATTTCCCTTCCAACCCAAACCATTCTGGGATTCTGTGAAATTGTGATCACTCAAACATCATGGCTTATCCTTCCTTGGTAACCACGGACAGCCACGGCAAAGGTTTCACTTTAAGGCAAAGCATGGACAGGAGCCAGGAGGTGTTGCTTTAGTCCTGGTGTGTTTGTTAGCAGGCTGCACTAGGCATGAACCCCAGACTAAGAAATAATTGTTTTGAAAAGGTAAATATTTGCTCATCAGAACACAAGAGGGACCCGAGGATAATTGTACAGGAGCTGTTTGCTTTCCACTTGTCTTTGGTAATCTTCCGTGTGCCAGCTAAAACATCTTGTCCCATTAAAGGAATCCTGGTGAGAGGTGGGGTGAGCTGAGAGCTGCTGGGAGAGGACAAGAGTGGACATCAGGAGAGGTTCAAGTTGGATATCAGGAAGAAGTCCTTCACTGAAGGAGTGGTCAAGCATTGGAATGGACTGCCCAGGGTAGTGGTGGAGTCACATCCCTGGAAGTGACAAACAGCACTTTGGGATATGATTTATGGGTTAAAGGTTGGACTTGACGATCTTGGAGATCTTTTCCAACCGCAATGATTCTGTAATTCTATGATTAGGAAAATGAGTGTATTTTTCACTCTGAGCTCTCTGATGAGAGAGCGTGAGAAGGGCGATATGCAGGTAAAAATATTTTGCACATTATTCCTGCTCAAAAGCTGCACATAAAAATTACGGAGAGAGCTGACATTTCCAGATTCACTTTCCTGACTTTCCTTGCCTCACTCTGTCTGGCTGGAGACAAAACCAGGGAAAATGCCAAAAATACAGTTCAGTGAGTGAAGATTGCTTAAACAGTCAGGGAAGGAACACATGGAAAAAGGAGGAGGAGTGGGAGCAGGAGGAGGACAGGGACACTCTGTCCACCCAGGGCTCCACCAGATCACTGGGGCATTTTAGCATTAAGCATTTTCCCAGTGCCAACCTAAGATGTGCTGAAATAAATGAAATTTGCTAAACGACAATTTACTCCTTCTTCTTAACTATTCATTATTTCTTTTTGCTTGCTCCAGTCCTCTCTGATGGCATTTGCATGTTACAATTATCCAGGGAGATAAACTCCTGGGGGGGAGATGTCGCAATTGTCGTGGGATGGATCCTTCCCCACCGCTCCCACCTCGCTGGCACAGGCACGACACGGAGTGCTGACACATCCCTGGGAAAAGGTGTTTGTGCAGG